TTCTCTTTTGGCGTTTTCAAGTGATCTTGCAATGTTGCTGCAATTTGCTGCAATTTGCACTGCTATATAGGCAATTTGGAGCAAATTGTGCAACATAGGAAACATGAAGAGATCACCTCCTTTCGCACTTCGCAGAAACATTCGTATATCGCTCTTCGTGTCGAGCTGATATACAAATCTCTCTGTCTTCGATTGCAAACGTTGCAATGCAGTGATCCATCGAATAGTCTCTGAAGCGAGAAAGATCTTTACGGGACTGAGCTCAGTTATCTTGAGGGAATTTCCTGCTCTAGATGCGGCAGACCCTGCCGAACACGATGGTTGATAAGCGCAAGGACTTTCCCCAAGCTTTCCGGAGAGGTAAAAACGTAACTGGGAATGATAAAACTTTTATCATAAAAGTCGGAACGGTAGGTCAGGAGAGTTCCTGGCAGTGCCAGGCTGGGACCACAAAGCGGATTTCCCTGAATCAGTGTATTTCTCGCTCGCCATAAAATGGCCGAGCGCGGTGCATTATGGTCTCCACTGACCATCCAGCGCAAGTGACCAGTTTGCTCATCCTCAGTCTGATCAACTCGGGTACGATCGTTGCCAAGTTCTATAATCGCCGTTCAGTGTGCATCGCCAACCCCAAACTACAGGACATCGACAGCACAGCTTTGGTACCCTCATCCCCATCTTGAAATCCACACCGAGGGTCCGAAGCGTGCTGTCTTTGCGTGAAAGCAAAATCGATCGTTGAGGCAATCGGAAAATAACCGTTATTAGTCAACTGCGGGCTCTTCAGAACTCACCAGCGAGCGTATTATCGACAACTTATCGAAATCGAGATTATTCGTTATTTCGACACCTAGTTTTCGATATTAAGCTCGTTTATCGCCTTCGACAATGATTGTCGTAATTAAGTTGTCCATATCTACACATAGTAAATTGTAGCGTACTTTCGCCAACGTTGTCGAGAGAATGAGTATATTCGACGATTCCTTACTGTCTAAATTTCGACAGTATTTGTCGAAAGTCGCATATGTCGTCGCAGAGCGGCCGTTTTGACGACTTGTCGTTATTATTAGGTGAAGTTGTTTTCGACAGTTTGTCGAGGTTGTCGAAAGCGGACGCTCCGCTAACTTTATAGAGGGAGATACTTCCAGTATACACGTAGACCATGCTGACCGTTTACCGACGTTCACTATCCAAAAACCTGTGATTTTGAATCAAACTTTCTGTTGATTTTCATGATTTTCAGGCCTAAAACAAAAAATTTTCTAAATTGCCAATCTTGCACGCAGTGATATTGCACTTGCGCAAATTGCGCAATTTGCGAAGTGCAAGGAAAGTGCAATATAGAAAAGTAACACCCTGAATCTACCCTCAACTTTCTGTTCCCGCTCCTTAAAAGATAATCGACAAGGGTATCTTACCCCTACTTCTGTTCCCTTCATTCTTGTCTCTTGTACTAATTCAACGCCCCTCATAGCAAAATCTTCTACTTCAACATTTTCGACACTAAACTCATGAGACTCTAAAATCGGTACTAGTTCACGTTTGGAATCACCGGGCCCATAATAGTATGGCTGCTTTAGTGCGCCTTTGTCCTTAGCATACTCAAGAGGGTCATCAGTTAAGATGTTATCTATACAGTTCCATAGGATAACATCTGTCCGTCATAACGGCTCAGATTCCAAATATCGATTAATATCCCCATTTGAAAGTGCCTGTGTAAGTTCACCACATTTCTCTAAATTACCCACTATATTTGGTAGTCGCTTGTGTTTTTCTAGATAAGAAAAGAAGAATGTTCTTTTTGCAAATCCAGAAAGTTCTTCTGCCGCGTTCTCTGCCACTGGTCTTTGCGTATGTGTTCGCTTGAGATACTTCTCTATACCCTTATCCTGGTCAATTTCAGCAATAAAGGCACACTTACGCAGTGAAGAGATTTCCTGTAACACTCTACCACTCAAATTTGATAAGCCCTTCATTAGCTCATGTAATAGTGATGGACCATCACTGATGGTGTGCTTACATAATATTCTTTATCACACATTAGAGCTAGTAGGTATATGATGTTCATATTAGGTTCTCCTTCTGCAAGCTCTATATCCTGCATATCCTTTAATGTATCTATTATTGCCAATAATTTATTGGTGTGAAATTCACTGTAGCATAAAAATAATACTATATTATCATGGCACCATTGGGAATTGTGTAAATTACACAATTAAATTATATGATTAGGCTAGTTATTTCTTTGAAGGTTTTAAATCCGCTGATGGAGTTTATTAACATCAGGTTGTAGCCTATTTCAGAATATGTTAAGTAAAATCTACACCTTTTAAAGGCCTATTTCGCGTTAAGTAAGATCAATTTCGCAGAGTGAGCAATCATCCGAGCCAAGATATGCCTTAGTAAGATCAATTTCGCCAGCGCGCTCGATAGAAAAATCAATTTCGACGACACGTGTCATTAGTGCAATCAACTTGAATCAATTTCGCCGGCATCATGCCGGCGACATGTCTGAAGTAGGTTCAGTTTCGACGAAAGGCGAAATTGATTTCGCTCATAGTATATTCAATTTCGCTCGACGGCAGATTTTCGATCCCAGAACTACTCCGCGACATATCTTATCGAAAGAAACTTCCAACATGCATCTGGTGACTCGTGGGCGCCATCAGCAGTTGACAACGAGCCATGGTATGACTACAGTATCATGCAAGTGTAGCCGCGCTAACAATATAGTTAAGCACCACCATATGCTCACCAACACCTGCATATTGTCCTCACTGAGTGTGAGACATGTCCGGAACCCCGAAATGGAACAAAAGATCGTTGGCAAGAAACATAAAACAGAAACACATCATGAATTGAAGCACCAGAGACAGTCATTTTATAAAATCTCCTCTATTTTACTCAAGGCCAACTCGTACAAACTATCGGCGTTCTTCAGGCCAATTCTCTCAGACGGTCGCAACAGGGCTATTTTCCATCCACGGTTAGCCAGTAAGGTTAGCCTGCCAGAGACCCAGGTTCAATCCCAGCGCCCGGGCATTCTATCCAACCTTATCTTCGTCCACGCAACAAGGTCT